TTTATGTTGTAGACTAGGTCGTTAAACAAATAATATATAATACAATATATGCAAAAATATAGAATTACAAACGTTCAAGCTTGGTTACAAGATAGAAATTTAAGCAATATTACAATGTCCAATGAGATTACCAAAATAGTGTAGAGAATACTCAGTTTTATGTATATATTCATATATACATAAAACTGAATATTCTGACAAATAGGCATGAAACAAACTAAGTCTTTGAACTGTCCTTCTACGGAAGCCATTACTTCTTTCAAAAAAGTCTTGGTCGGCACCTGTCTTTCAGGGCAATACTCTCCACCTGACTTGAAACGCCATGAGTGTGGAATGCCCATTAAACTCACACGCACACTCCGTCCCTTTTCCCATTCCAAATACAAAGTAAAATAATGGCACGATCATAATATACAGGCGGGAAGCATAATCAAGTAGAGCTTATAATAAATTTCCAGTGCTAAAGAATAAGAATCATCAGTTAAGTTATTCTAGGGCAACTCCCCGTGAAATGCCGTTGCCTACCCAACCACATAAACACTGACACACAACCAATTTTGACGCCCCCCTTATTAACAATACCAATGCATCGCATTGTTGTACAATTAATTAATGATGCCCACGCGAGGTTACATAACTCGAGTTGGTGACAGCACGGTCTTGTGCCTAGGAACGGCTTCTAGGGATACTTTTCCTGATGTGAAACCCTCACTGCCACCCTTATACCTCCCAATTTCGTTAAGTAGCCATAATACCTCGCCGTACCACTGTTAGGTTCGAAACACACTTGCGTAATTACTCAACCCCACAATCCATCATTCTTTTTTCCAATTCCAAAACTGTTCATTGTCTCATTCAATCCGATTACTCTCATAAAAACAATACATACAAGTGATCACAATCCATTGATCACACCAATGTAGGTTTCCCCCTTTTATTTAGATTAACATTATGCTTTTCGGTTAGAACAAAGCATGGTCATAAAAGATACCAATCAAACTAAACATGTGGTGTAACTTATTTGCCACAATAAATAAACCACAAATAAGTAATATATGACATGATGAAGATAAAACATCAGAGACATAGCATAGAAGAGTTCAACCAAATGAAGAGTCACATAACACATTTTCAGAATTTTCCAGATTGACCAGTTTAGAAATAAATGTTGGGCACAAATTACTTTTTGTGGCCCAAAGACCTGGCCTCTTGAGGGTTGGAGAGAAATGAATTCTAGTTTAAACCCGAATTTACAAAAGTGGGATAGCGCCTTCTAGATTTTTTAGATATTAACAAAAACTCCAGACCGATCCATATTTTGTCGGCTTGATTACAAAAATTCATGTTTCGCTCAACCCATCACTCATTTCATAAAACAATTTTATTTGAAAGCCAACACTTAAAGGAAGATTTTGACTCATATTTGTCAGCGGTTTACAAAAAATCGGTGTTTCTAGACCTTTTTGAGAGATGCCTGTATTTAACCGGTTGGTTTTGCTCAAAAACTTTAAAATAAAAGATGTTAGGAAAAAGGGAAACCATAAGCTTGCTATACAATCTTCATACATTAAAAATGTGTCCAATAACTATCCATAGGAATTAGAATTTCTAGATTTGAAGTAGTGTTTTTAGAAAAAAACACGGTAAAGAAATAGAAATTGATGAAAAGCATTTGATCCATAGGGGGCTCACGTCCAATGTCTGTTCTGAGATTCGTAGTCGCGTGTTACTTTCCTAGTGGCATTTAAGATCGTAGGTGAGGGGTTAAAATTTTTATTCAAACAAAAGATCATGCAAGGGATTCAAAGTGTATAAACATAATCCATGGTTTTTGTGCTAGTAGACCTTATCTTTGCATATCCGATTTGATAGTAAACTAAGTTTTGAATTATTTGAATTGCCCATTATTGTTGAAAATTTTCCATCAAATTCTGTAGGTAGGGAGAGAGCTAATTGAATAAAGAAAATAAATTTAGGAAGTGGAGATACAAATGTAAAATGTGCCATGGTGAATCTGAAGTTTATTATTTCACCCTTCTTCTGGGTT